AATTTTAAATGTTTTTGTTTTTAGGGTTTTTATTTTTTGAAAGTTGCCTGTTAACCTAACTTTAATAAGTGATCAAATCAACGGTTTTGTTGTTAAACGAAAATCATGGGAGAAGAACAATATTCTTTGTGTTGGGACAACTTCCATAAAAATATGAGTAATGGGATGCAAGCGTTATTAGAGAATGAAGACTTAGTGGATGTAACTTTAGCGGTTGAAGGAAAATATATAAAAGCCCACAAAATCGTTCTCTCAATATGCAGCCCCTATTTCAAAGAATTATTTCAATCAAATCCCTGCAAACACCCCATAGTTTTCATGAAAGACGTGAGTTACATCGCAATGAACGACCTCCTTACGTTTATGTATCAAGGGGAAGTACAAGTAAATGAAGAACACATAAATGTATTTGTTAAAACAGCGGAAGCTTTACAAGTCCAGGGAATAACGGGGGAATGTAATGATGACACTGAATTGGGGGATGATAATTATCAGAATGAAGAAGTGTTGGTTAAACCGGTTATAATTCAAAATAAACCTTCAATACTTAAAAAATTGTTGCAACCTTCATTGAAAAGGCGTAGATTAAATAGTTGTGAAAAAGATGTTGAAATTCCTACAACAGAAGAGATTATTGAGTTTAAAATGGAACCTTACGATGAAACACAAACTGAGCAACATTTAAATGAAACTTATGAACATTTAGATGATGATGTAACTAATGAGGATTATCACGAGGTTGGTGTTGAAGATCAATTAGATGAAACAGAAAATATTGATGATGCAGAAGATTATGCTATGTTAGAAAGTGGAGAGGAACCCAAGCCTGGAACCAGTAATGAAGTTGCTGTATCGGATGGACAAGGTAAAATTGTTTTATTAACTTTGTTGTCTTTTTCTATTCTGTTGAATTTAATCAAATTCAAATTGACACTTTTTTGGATGGATATATTTTTAAGATAAAACAAAATCATCATCAGCAACTACCTAATTACAAAATTATTCAAATTAATATGAAACTTACAAAACACTACCAAAATTCATACCTTATTCCTATAATCCCCAAAAAAAACACCATACCTTGCCTTATTTTAGATTTCTTATATTTTGTAGTCTTACATTAATTTGAAAAATATCTATTTTAAGCTTGACCCTTTTAAATTTTTCAAAATGTTCACCCCCCCATTATGTTAGGTTCATATTAGAATTATTAGAACAAAAAAAAAATAAAGTATAGAAATAAAATAAATTAAAAAAGTACATATATACATAGTACAGTGCATATATATACTATCTCCTATATCGCTGACTCCCTATCTAAGCAATGAGTGGCGAGCGTTTCCGTCAAAAGCAGACGGAATGATATATGTTTTGTCTTTGTCGTGCCCCCATGTCGCGAAGGCACTTGCGCGAATCGTAAATTTTAAAGAGTTTGAAGTGTTTCGCTCGTATTTTATGCAGCTTTGAAATGCAATTATTGTAGATAATTTACTTTAATTATAAATTATCGTAGATGAATTAAACAAGTATGTTGTAAAATAATGAGCGATAAAAAATTTGTAGCTGATTTCATCTAATTCATATGGCGCATGTGGCGACATCTACGAGTTAACTCAAATCCTCTTACACATTATTGTTTACCCTTACAAAAACTATAAGTCAACTATGAGTCATTATGTAGAAAAGTAGCTGATCTATTAACAAAAATCTATTTTATTTTTTTCGCTTTAACATCCTGTATCTCAGTAAGGAGCAGACTAAGACCCATTATTGTTAATGAAAATATTATTATTTTGGCCTCCTGAACGTACATTTACAATTTGGCCCATTACTTATGAATCACCCTGTATATACATAGTAATTATTAAAAATGTGTACCAAAATATAGTTATTAATTTTTAACATAATTTGTGAGCTCACGCCCTTTAATGAAGTTGTTACATTAATTAAAGATATAAAATATGTACTTAGGGTGCTTACTATTTAATGTACATAATATTCTATCATAAAATTTTCATCATATCGATGTAATTATTAATTAAATTTTTAAGAAAAATGTTTCAAGAAAAGGAGGGCTTTGAATTCTTTTTAATTACACTGAGATCTTTCCTTCTACCTGCTCAACTAATTTTTAGGCCCCAAAAATGTCTCCCCTACTCTTTTTCTTTTTATTTTACTTTTAACAAATTTTCTTCACTTTCTTAACAAATAATAATTACATTTTAAATTGCTTAGTCCTAAAATATGTTAATAATTACGTTATTATACACATGAAACCTATAATATACATAACTAAATATTTAGATTTTAGGTTATGTTTATGTCAAACATTTATTTGGTGTTTTATAAACATCAAGGTCATCAGCTGCTATTAATTTTTAATTCACCGTCCAATAAGATAAAAGCGTACTCACCACGTGTTCACGCATGTCTCTTATGTAGACGGGGGCACGACAGAGACAGATATATATATATCTGCACTCTAGTGTTTACACTCTTTTGCTGCCTNTATTTATAACATTTGAAATCGACAAAATTGTCATGGTTACATAAAATTTGGTTTGTTATTTGGGTTGCCTAAACAAAAGTAAAGAATATAATGTTTAATGAACAACCTACATAAAGTTGATATTTAAAGCAATATTCAACGTCAATTTCACACAAAAGTACATATATTCTAATTTATTTGATGCATCTACGATAATTTATAATTAAAGTCAACTATCTACAATAATTGCATTTCAAAGCTGCATAAAATACGCGCGAAACACTTCAAACTCTTAAAAATTTACGATTCGCGCAAGCGCCTTCGCGATATGGGGGCACGACAAAGACAAAACATATATCATTCCGTCTGCTTTTGATGGAAACGCTCGCCACTCATTGCTTAGATAGGGAGTCAGCGATATAGGAGATAGTATATATATGGTCAGCGATATAGGAGATAGTATATATATGGTACAGTGTAAAGTATGCAACCAATATCACAGTATTGGTATTCAACGCGACAAAAAAAACGATAGCGACAATTCATTAACTTTGAAAGTCATTTAAAAAAATATTTAGATATATTTTAATGCTTAAAATACTTATTTTTAATACAAAATAACGAAATGACACTTTTGCATTTGAGAACGAAAGTTTGATATCAAACAACATTTTTTCGAAAACTGCAAGTTTAAAATTAATAAAACGTTCAAATTCAGTATAATGACATTTAGAATTTATTTAGGGCCGGTTTATCAATACCTAGTTAAGACGATTGATAGCTGATAGTTTCTGGTCTCAATTTTAACCAAGATTAACAAAACTGTATCCTGTTTTAACCGCAATTTAACAAAAAAATCGTGGTCGTCCTACTCTTCAAAGTGGTTTTGTCTTTCTTTTATAATATATGATTGTCGTTTATAATTTAAGAGTTGGACAATATCCTCATCTTCATCGCTGTCTAATAAATATTCAAGTAGGAATTCCATTATAAAAGAGGTTTTCGAAAACAACGCACAATACCGAAAGCACGCGGAAATGATGATTGAACCACTGATTATTCGTTTATTAAATTCGTTATTTTTTTCTGATTACAAAAATGTGGGGTTAGATAGGTCTATTTCTTATTGTTTTAGAATAAAGCTAAAAATAAACTTTTTGTTAGTGTCGTCAAAGAAATTAAATTTACCGTTTCCTGTAAATTACAGTACTATAACTAAAAATTTATACAGAGTGGCCCAAAATTCGCGCAACGCTAACACAAAATACGCATGCGCCGGTTTCACCCCACTAGTACAAGGTTAACCGTGTCAACCAGTTGTCCGTGTGTAGCTATGGCAGCCGGAGCGCGTTATCGGTTCACAATTGCGGAACGCGTGTTTTTAGTGAGCTCGTACTACCGTTATCATGCCGATTATCGAAACATTTTCTCCGATTTTGCCGAAAAGTTTCCTAACAGTCAAGTTCCGAGGCGTGAAACTGTGTATCGCTTGATAAAAAGGTTCGAACAAAATGGTACTGTTAATGACACGAAGCGTTCGGGGCGGCCACGCAGCGTGCGAACTGCACAAAACGTACAGATGGTCGCTGAGAGTTTCGTTGAAACACCGGCGCGATCAGTCCGTAAGGCTTGCCATGAATTGGAAATTTCTCGTTCCAGCTTGCAGCGAATAATGAAGGAATTAGGTATGCATGTTTACAGACCACGTCTTTTACAAGCATTAACAGAAGACGATCCGGACCGCAGACTTCAGTTCGCTGAGTGGTACGTAATTCGATGTGAAGCGTTCGAAGAGTTCTTTAAAACCATTTTGTGGTCAGATGAAGCACAGTTTAAATTAAATGGCCGAATCAACAGACACAATTGCGTGTACTGGTCTACAGAAAATCCGCATATCACGGTGCAAGAAGAATTAAACGTTCCTGGTGTAACAGTATGGCTTGGTGTTTGCTCCTTCGGCATTGTCGGCCCCTACTTTTTCGACGCAACAGTAACAGGTATTGCATACCTTGATTTGTTGATGGAACTGCGCGATGAAATGAATAATAACCCGGATTTTTCTGGTCGTGTTTTAACTCTTCAACAAGATGGTGCGCCGCCCCATTACGCTATCATTGTTCGCGAATTCCTAAATCAAAATTTCCCGGATTGGATCGGTAGACGAGGTCGAGTAGAGTGGCCTGCAAGATCTCCTGACCTGACTCCCTTGGATTTTGCCGTGTGGGGAATTTTAAAGGATAGGGTGTACAAAAATGATTTACCAGATGTGGAGACCATGAAAAACATCATAACCAACGAAGTCGATACGCTGAATGCAGATAAACCTTTACTTGAGCGCATCTGTAAAGCTGTTAAAAAGCGATGTCTGAAGTGCATCGAACAAGAAGGAGGTCATTTCGAACATTTGTTATGATGCCAGAGAGTCGGTTTTTGCCTTGCTTCAAACTAATTTTGTGTATTTTGTTTTTTTCCGAATAAATTTTGTATTTTTGCTACGCAATGTCATTTTTTTTCAATTGGTTGCGCGAATTTTGGGCCACTCAGTATTTTTACTGGTATCACTTTTATACCCACTGTTTGGGTATTTACCCTGGGCCGGGGTAAATACCCGGATAAATACCCATTTTAGAAATACCTACCCGCCGGGTATTTACCCAGCGCCCATCACTGACCATGA